AAATGGTACAGGATTGTTTGTGCGGTTAAGCGTGTGGTGTGTGCGAGGTCCTGTAGTTGCTCGTCGATATACCAGCGAACGTGAAGAATTGACTGACACACAATGCGCGGTTGCCGGGAAACACAGTAAAACATACAAAATGACTGCTTGGAACATCTCCGGACGTTGCCGCATATAAGGACAATCGTAGCATAAGCGGTTTGCTATTCCATCATCGAACAGTCGTTGAAAACGTTGTCGGACCAGTGTCGAATCCAGGATAGTACACATACCCTAGGCAATTTTTAAGGGTTTTGGCTTTGAAGTCTTTGCCATTATATCCGTGATGGATACGCGTTCGGGTAACCTTTATGTAAAAGGTATCGGGTATTACACATGATTAGATACTGCTCGTTATGGTAATGTAAAATATATCAGGACTATCAGTGCCCCGATAAGCCCACTGCAGTGCATACGGTTCACAAAGGTCCTTTGAATCTGAATACCACGATACGCAGGAGGAGTAGGAGAACGTCAAGAAACGCGTATCTCCATTTGATACACACAAAGCCGTTGCTGGTATCTACCGTCCATTGCATATCATACAATGTATTAAAACATTATGATCGATTTCCGGTAGCGATTCTTTATTTGCGTCCCGCGCATAAAACATATAATCACATTAAGTGTAAAACACTCAATCGGATTACACAAATCCATAAGAGGATATATCATAATAAAAGTAATAGTTTGAAGAATTCGGTAGCCGTAGAGATGAATGCAAAGATTTGAATGCAATCCGATATAATAAATACACGGAGCGACGGAAAACAGTAAATTACTGATGTGTGACATCATATTATAAGATTGTTAGAGAGACGATGCGCGCTAAAGACCAGATGGATATAATTGAAAGAGTTGGATGATAAATATTATGTACTAAGGTTTTAATCCCGATAAGCCGACAAGTTGATTGGCCTGGTCGCCTGCACCGGCTATATCATATTTTATATGATTGTCACTAAACGAAACTGTGTTGTGATATCGCTAGATATTATCATTAATATCTACACCGAAGAGACACGTTGGTTTCTTTTTTGAAAAACACGTTTTTAATGAACCCACCGAGTTTGACAAATCTACTAGCGTGGGCACATTTCTCTCTCTCTCTCTCTCTCTGTACCAGTTATAAATATATACATACATATATTTATAAAATATTATAAAGTAGTGTGCGTTTTTACACTGCTCCTTCTTGTACCAGGACACCCCGCTGCAGTACGTGCTTTACAAACGTTATGCGCTAGACAAAATTTACGAGTGTGTTTTGCCTCTTCTGGAACGCCCTATACATTATTATTTTTGTACAAACAAAGTGCCCGGTAACTCACACGCACTCCGCGATACGGCGTATAGCGAATACACGTACACTATATAATATAGAACGGAACAAACCGTCCGCAAGCGGACCGCAACAGTTCATAACAATCATTTTGAGACATCATATATATATATAAATATTTCAAGACAAAACAGTAGAGTACGTTATTTTTGTTTCCGGCGGCGTGACTTTAGTTGCGAGAGCCGAGGCCAAGGGGAAGCAGAGAAAAGCATCTTCATTATTGTAAACGAGTGTCCGGGGTATGTGGTGGACTTTCGATAGGGCTCTATTCATCAACGTTTGCGGTACCGGCGACTGTGGTGGCGTCGGAAAACCCAAAATTCGTCCTTAGGCCCGGAAACGACAGGACGGACGTTAATGCGTGCCTCGTCCTTCCACTCCCTGTCACCGACACGGACTTCTAAACCAGGAGAAAACGATTCGCATGAAATATTGTCAGACAGTAACAAACACACTGGCCGTTTCTTGGTACGATAAGGAATCGGTAATAGCCGATCATCAAGCAAAATCGTCGACAAAGCCGCGGGTTTGAAGATAAAAACAAAAAAAAAAAAGTAAATTTGTCACAGAACTTCTTTATACACCTTTTTCCTTATCATATCAAAAATACCCTCGACATTTTTAATATCCGCCGGCAGATACGGATAATAAATTACATTGCTAACATGATAAGAAGTGAAGCTGCGCTGAATCGGCTATTTCTCGGTGGGAAATCTTGATCTCGCTTGGTTGGTTCTTCAGCAATATAAATATGAGTTTTTTTTGCTAAATCATATTCATTTTATTTGTAACTGTTTTATCTTTCCTATCCTTCGAGTAATAATCAAAGTCATTTTGTCATTATACATTTGACATAATGTGGCATGTGCAAAACGTAAAAATAAATTAACGGAATTTCTACTCTACCGCGGCAAGTTATATACTTAATAAAAGCTTATAAGCTGGATGTCTTTAATGCTTTGCAGTTACCTGCTTTCGAGGCGGTTATCGAGCAGAAGTCAAGACAATTTGAGTGTTTCCAGCAAGCGGGAATGCGAGAAAAATTAGAATATGGTGCTATTCCGTGCATTCGGGCGACGTACTATTGTAAGACCGTTCACGCGCAGTTGGTTTGTGTAAACGATAATATTAATTTGGGTCTAAAATAGTTTGGTAAACAATTTACTGAGCCGTTTGTGCGAGGGCGAGGCGCGATCGAAATTTGTGTATGAACATCCGCATAAGTCCAATCCGGAGACTGTGTCATGAATTATTCACAATATCCGCGGTAAATTATTTATGGCCTCGGTCATAACAGTCGCGACAAAGACGGTGATTTAAGACTCCTCGGCAACGGTGCGCTGCACCGGCGGTGGACTTGTGTAAACATTGCAACGAGCACGTCGTAAATAATAACCATGGTAATGATTTTGCGTTGGAAAATAGGTTATAAATATAAGCCGAAACTAAAACGGTCCGGGTTGCGCATAAAATGTCTGAATTCAATTTACACTCAGACCGATTAGCAGAAACTTTGACTTCGGCCAATTCGGACAAACCGTTTCGGTTTGAGAAGCCAATCACAAATAAAACGACATATAGTTTGCCATTCGTCCTATCCCGCTCTAGTCGTCGCAATATTAATACGGAGACAACGTTTAACTCTTAGCCCTTAAGTCGTGAACAAGAGCTGTAAATTCGAATGCCTTCAGTAGAGGGTTTTGCGCAGGGGTCCTTGTCACTATGTATATTATATAAGTAATATGACGCGTGTCAACGTTGGGTATTCACAATTATACGTGACACCTAACATCCCAAATTGAAACCACGTGCTTCCGTTTCTTTGGCTTCCCAGCATTAAAAAAAAGAAAAAAAAAACACTAGACACATATTTAGCTGCTATATCTTAAAGTTAAATAAATATACTGTCGCCGACACCGGATTCAAGTAGGTACTCGTACATAGCGAAGATGTCCAAAGGGAGTCGTTCATAATGATTTTCGAATATTTTCTTCAGTTTTTCTTTCTAACCTTTTTTATATTCCATATAGTAAATTACAGGTTTCCGCCCTTTATATAACGCCGAAGCCCTCGACTAGGTAACGGCCGTTTGGAGAGTTTCGGGCGTCGGGGTGCTCATCCTAATGTAAACAAACGAGGTGACCCGTGACGGGGGAGATGGGGAAAAACACAGTAAAACTACCAAACCCTCCACTCTAGAAGTTGAAAATAAATAGGGTTTCCTTTAGTATACGATCATCTCCACGGGGACAAAGAATCCTTGTTCAGAAAACCCCTTTGTCCAGACAGATGTGCCGTGGACGGTGCAAGATACGATCACGCAAAGGAGGAAAACCTTCACAATCTAAAATTTTCCCCTTATCCGAATAATGACAGACTCGAGGGTCACCACAGGGTGTGGTCAAGGTCGGGTTTGAATCATTAAACCGGTAGATCATTAACAGGTGGTCCAGCGATATTTTGCCGACAATTAAAATCGTTTCCATAATACATCCATTGTCGTTTGAAAGCAAACTTTGAAGACAACTGCGTCTTCGTTAGAGGATCGGGTTTTTTTACATTTAATTTTGTATTTCAATCTAATAAAAACCAGTAGACATAAAATGACATAGTTATAAAAAAACCGTGCTTGTTTTTTATTTATTTCGAAATATGTCTCTATGCACTTTGCCGTATAGGAATATTATGAATTTGTATTTTATAATACTCATTTATCTCTATAACTGTCACGGTCCATTGTTCCTTTTACACACAGGGTAATAATTTTCTGCAATAATAATTTATTCGGTAGCCCGTTTAGGAAGAAAAAAAATGTTATTTAATCGTGATTTTGCATCAAGAAGACTTGTCATATTAATGATGCCGCCGCTCTATCGGCTTCATCAACCGGACGACGAAGAATGCTCCCGGTTTTAATTTCCTAATATTTACGGTTCTGCGATAACCATCGCTGGAATTTTAAAATTATAGCAGTAGTCCTAGATTTGATTTCTTTAAATTATTGATGGCCGCTAAAAATACTTCCAATTTTTATTTTTCAGATGGCAATCTGACCGTCGTCGTTGGTAAAAAAAAAACGAATTTAATTACATCCAACCGACAAAGTGAACCGAATAATAATTTCACGGCATTCCGAATGCACACAATGACTGATAAATTCCACACGATTAATAAGCTGTGCCCCCGCACTCGATACCGAAATCTACATGGTAACTGGACGTTTGTTTAAGGAGTTTTTTCCCATTTGTCACGCACACCTCCCAAGTGTTATTTTAACGAACCAGTTTGATTTAAGCCCAGTTGCGTGTCGGCCACTCATACCCAAACGCAGACCAATAAATTCCGTGTGACGGATTTAATCGGACAATATTAATTTCGATTTTAATTACATCAAACATCAGACTGTCTCGTCAACAGCGGGCATACTCTGGATACCGAACTAATCTACTTTCGAACCGAGTCTTTTAAGATCCCATAAAATAGTGTTGTAGAATTAAACCTTAAATACTTATTCATATAACTACAAAAACGATTACCCTAGATTTTTCTAGGATTTAATTTAGGCGTTATCATCTGTTTAAAACATATGTTATTCTCTATATTCTAGATAGGTACTTACTAAGTTGTTCGTTTAATTTTCTGTTTGTAGAACACTGATTATCGACAAGTATAATCTGAAACCAAATCAATAACGTTGTAAATAAATAAACACGTTTTAATATCAATAATGAACAATAAGTTTATCTTATTTAATATTATATAGATTATAGAGTATATACATAATAAGAATAAGAGGGAAATTAACAAATTTAAACCAAAGATTTTGTCTAAAGCACAGACGAATCTGAATTACTGTTTTAACCTTTTACGCCCTAGCTCTTAATTTTCGAGGAATACTTATTTAGAAAATCAATAATATATAATATTAAACAATAACATTTTTTAAAAATTCATATTGCAGTAGCTAATTGGCCGTTTGGCTCTAATTAATGCAAACTTTAATAAGTATTTCATACATTTTATAACAATTTACCGCTTGTCGTTTTCGAGATCATACTAAAATAATCACTCGTTCTGCGAATGAATCGCAATATTCGCGTCGAAGAAAATGTATAATTATTTAAAAATATCGGCCAGAAGGATAATATTTCATTGTATTATTTTATTGTCAATTAGAAAAACGATAGGGATTTTTGCGCTATAATTAATTTTGCGAGCATAAACTTGAAATTACGCTCTTAAAATACCCCACCACCCCCTCACGCCAGCCGTTATGGCTGGTATAGTTTTCGTTTGCCCGCCACTGTTGTACATTCGAGTATGTGTTCCGAATTTACTACCTGTACGCTATAGCGCAACGGCGAATCGTTTCCGGTCGCGTCGCTTTGGATTCGTTAAAATAACATTTTGCGCGGATGACGTTAAAACAAAATCGAATACACGCAGCGGTGCCTTTAGGGCGAGTGGAACTTGAATTACCGCCGACATTTGAATAACTTCCCTCCTGGCCCAACCGAGGTGTGCGCATCCCGCATTCGAGTATTATGTGTGTATTGAAAAAGGGGAACGTCAAGCAGCACTATACGTATATATAGTAATGCTTCTGCTATCATGAACTTGGTCGGATTTGCATTTATTACCTACCTGGTGATATGTCCCGGCAACCACCGCCGACGTCAGATTCCAAAACCGTGTACTATTATTATTTCGCCCCGTTTTGCATTTATTTTCCGTCGATTTGGGCGACGAGCGATTTAAATTTATGAACTACCGAAGAGGGTGACATCGATATTACGTATAGCACTCGACAACGAATGGGAATCGTAATGATTGTGCACATCATATTGTTATATGGACTTGCTTTACATTTTTTTTTTCCAAAGGGAGGGACAGAGAAAACGACGATAACCATCGAATCCACAATCGAATAAGGGTCAGATCACACGTTACAGAGCGCGTCAAACCCCACACTATAATATGTATATAATATAATAATATATTATCAATAGAACATTCGGTACACGGTATAAGCACAGCGAGGGGAAGGGTAGGAATATTGTAACGACGACGGCAAAAATAATAAATCGTATCGATGACATCGATTCGAAGTGAGTTTTAATGGAAAATATTGCCGAAACTTTGTAATATACATTTTGTACATTATTTTGCTCTTTCGGCGGTCCGATACCAACGTTAGCGTGAAAACAAAAAAAAACTTTGCACCTGACATATTTTTTACCAACAATTATTATTGATAATTCGACAGTGTTCACTCCTGTTCGAAATGTAAAAAAAATATTTGATTTTTCTGCAAAGAAGTACATTTTTTATTTAACTAATAACATTCCTTTTTTTTTTTTGTGTTAAAAAGAACATCTGAAAGTTATTAAAGCGTTGAAACTGAACAAATACATAAAAAACAAAACAGCTCAGTAAAAAATTATATTATTATATAACATATCTCAGATGGCTACGCAAAATAAAACTCTTAAGTACATTTAGGTAGAAAATGTTTCATCGATTCGTTTTTCTCGCACGGGGCTACAGAAAACAATTTATGGCCGACGTTAGCTTTTCGGTTGCACGTTTTGTACACAGTATATAGCTATAGCTATAGCTTCTAGTTTATTTTTCCTAAATTAAACCTTTATGAACTTAAACCGTATTTGGACTGCCTACATAGAACGTTTGCATATCTTGTTTACCGGACCAGGAAAAACAGCCACCAACTGACGGGGAAACCACTTGACTAAGTTTTTCAATTATGAAACAACAACAACAAAAAAATATATAATAGATATAGAAACCGGTATACATTGTGTTTTAAGTGTTTGGGTAGCGTTACGGATTATAATTAAGACAAAACTCTTCAAGATGAAGGGTAGAGCAACAAAAAAAAAGCCGGATTAAAAAAATATACAATTTTATATCTATACTTAGTTCGCCTTAATAACGACCCAGGACGTGCTCCGAGTCGACGCTGTGTAGCCGACAAAGTTTTCTTGCCGTATCGCGAATAATAATACATTTCCCCCATTTATTTTCGTTAGTCACTCGATACCGGCACCTTTTTTTAATGCGCAAAACCTCCACGAGGTATTAATATTCCATTAAGGAAAAAAGAAAATTTGAATTTCGGGTGTTCCGCAAAGTTCAATCTATCCTTTTACATATTTACGACTGTTTCCATTATGCAGAAGCAACTACCCTCTCCCCGTTTCCGCGTTGGCGAGACGCGAGGCAAGTGAGAAAAGGGCGGAAAGGGAACGGCCGGGTGGGAAAACGACGACCTAAGGGAGGAGATCTCAAAAAACCGCCACCGCAAATAACGCATTCAAAACCCCATCAACAACACGCAGCGTCGTGTTTCAGCTTTAATGGATTTGCCGGAATCCTCGCAAGAAATCCAACACTTGTTGGTCACACCTCAAAGATACTACTTGTTGGGCTAATGATATTCACACGCTGTACAAACGTTTTAAATCTAAAAAAAAAAAAATAATACTCTTGTGTAACTGAAGCGCACCAATGAGATTCATTACATACGTAATTACAACATAGAACATTATAATAATTGAATAGCCACGTTGTATCGGACTGTAGTAAACGGAATTTCTAATTTGACCAAACCGACGTTTATTTAACTAATAAGAAAATGTCTACCAAAAAAAAAAAATGTAATGTTACACGAATAACTTATGAGATTGACAGGAGAAAGCATAGAAAACACATGGTATATGGATAATTTCCAATATTAAAAGAAAATAATACTTTTTGGCGGTCTATATTGTTAATAATTAAATAGCGAATCAACAAAATAAATACCACAAGATGCTAACTATAGCACACCTTATTATAATTTATAATTGATAATAGGTACTATGAATAATTAGTCCAATTTATTCAGTGCATACTTGAGAAGCGCAAGCGATAAAATTTTATTGTTATATGATACAATTTTAAAAAATAACATAAATACTTGGAAAATATAATAAAATATACCTTCGATATTGAAGGTGACCATTAGGATATCAGATATCTTGTTGTTGTAAAATAAAAAAAATGTTGTGGATAAAAAAAAGTATATTAAACACCGGCGGGATCGCAATAAGGTAAAACATAATATATTATGAATACGAGTTGTGGGATTTTTTTTATAACTTTTTACGTAATGTAATATTCGGACGTGTAAGAAAAATCATTATTATTTATATGTTTGTATTATATGTTTCGACGAAATTATCGCTAAATGTTAAAAAAATATATACTCATATGTAGGTATGTATGTAATACTATTATTTATAACAAACATACAACCGGACGGTATAGATCATAATTTGCATAATCGTGTGCGTGAGCGCGTTGTCCGCGAAAACGAGGGTAATTTTTACATTTCTTTTGTATAAAAATCATAATACATTATGATATGTCCTGTGACCGGGGCTCTGACCCAATAGCAACCATAGAACTTGGAAGCTCCCTCTCCTCTCTCTCTATTTTATCTCATCTCGACTTTGCCCGAGAAATATATAGGCGACGGCGATGCGAGAGGGATATTTTAATTGTGTATAATGTAATGTACATTGTTGTATCTTGTCGTATACAAAGGCTAGGCGGCAGAGGGACATTAAAGGAACTCTGGGAATGTCGCCAAAGCGGTTGACTGGTACGGCTTGCGCACACTCACACACAACGGATAGGACCACGAAAGTCCAGGAAAACTTTGGGAATTGCTGCACGAGGATTGCGTGACGGTGAGAAATTATCTGCCCGGAAAGGGACGAAACCAACAGCGTACACAAGCTAAACATACAAACATAGATACAGCTAAACCAAGCCAAGTTTCATAACCGCTCCGGAATGCATAGAAATCATCGTTGCTCCGGCACGATTACAAGCGCAAGAATTCAAGCTATTAACTTTTTTTAAACACAACTAAACTATCAGAACAATATCCTTTTCGAGAGCCAAACTCGATAAAACCTACTTGGCAATAGTATATTTTTTAACAGTTATATATTTACACCATGTTTGGGTAAGAAATCGATTATGAAGAACACATAATATTTTCACATAATATCATTGTTTCTGAAAGCAAATTAAATAAATCTAAATAAAGGTCTATGCCTCTATGAAATGTGAATACGAATGAACACACCCCCTTTAACCAAATTAAACATTTTGTTTGTTTTTACATTAAGTACATGTACATTTTTGCAACCTAACAACCCGTGACTGACCACTGTTTGTTCTGTGGGACCGAAGCAGCGTTGCAAACAACGAACAATCGAAAAAGTAACGTTCCGTGCACCTTTACTTTATTTATCATAACCGACTTGACGATTAAAGTAAACAATTTCTGATAGTTATGTTATACAAAAAAGCACAATTGTGAAAATACCTACACAGTGTTTTTATATTTATGTTTGATAATCTCATTTTTCTTACACCAATCACTAAAATAAGCACCTGCTGATTACATTACTCAAAGTACCCACACCTGTATGAGAATGTAACATTTTTCTGGGAGGCACACTGAAAATAATATTAGTTTTAACTAAAAAATTGTTTTCTTATACAGTACAATTGAGATTGTCCGGCCAAATATTCTCTCTCCGGCAGCCAATCACTGATCTTGCTTGATGTTCAAAAAACCACTTGAACTCGTTTGGTT